GCATTCCAGGACACCCACAGGAGTGGAGGCATAAAGACATCTTCAGGGCTGTGTCATTCTGAATTTGGAGCCTGAATATGGGAAAGAGAAATGTACAACAGGTTGTTAGAGAGATGATTTCAGTCATAAAGACAAGCAATATTTACACAGCAATAAACAACAATGTTATGAGGAATTTAACGTTTTTCAAAAGTAAAAGATCTTTTCAAAAAACAATTACTTTTTTTTAGATTCACCATATTCATACAGTATTTGTCTCTGTCTGACTTATTGTACTAGCATAATGCCCTCAAGGTCCATTTGTTACTGCCCAAAAAGGGGGTTCGTCTGCCCGCCACAAGACATGCCAGTAGTCAAGAGGCAAGGAGGTAGGAGAGAAAGGGCTTTTTATTAGAGCTTGCCAGCAAGGGGAAGATGGCTGACTCATGTCCAAAAGAACCATCTTAAGGGGCACGAAATCTTACAGCAGTTATATAGGCCGGTGGGTTATAGGGGAGGGAGTTAGAAATGTTGACCCTCAGGTGTTACAGACAGGGAGTGCCACACGAGATCTTTCAGTTTTCACTGATGATGGCTATTAGCATAGACTCTCTGTTCAGGGGTCATCACATTCCTAAGGAACTCAAAAGAACAAAGTTATCTTATCGCAGCTGGGAGGTACGTGCACAAGCAGGGGTCGTAAAATCCACAGAGCAGTTAGATCTCCTGGAGAGTGCATAGCCAGCTGGGTTAGTGTGTCAGAGGTCATTCAAAGTTACAATAGGGCTTCTTTTCTACAACATGGCTTCCCTCATGTCAACCTTGTCTTGAGCAGGTATCACATCTGTTGTCACAAATGGCAGAATTTCCTTCTTTTATGGTTGAATAATATTTCATTTTGTATATACACACAGCGCATTTTCTTTATGCATTCATCTATTGATGGACACCAAGGTTGTGTCCGTGTCTTGGCTATCTTTCTTTGTTGTTGTTGTTATCTTTGTCCCGTGAGCTGGAGTAAACACTCCGAGAATACACACAGAAAGACAATGATTTCTCCTTTAAACCATCTTTAAAGTTTCCCAAGTGAGGAGAAAAGGGAGAGAAAGGGACAGAAAAAGATGTGAGGGGAGGGGGCTTCAGACGTGACCTTTCCACCATTGAAGGATCGCTGTGATCTTTCTGCTGGGACAGGGGAGGCGTTTCAGTGCAGGAAAACCCATCTGGCAGCCGCACACACGCAAAACAGAGTCAGGACACCTGGTTTCAGCGTCGACTTGGGCCCTTGATGATCTCATCAAGCCATAAGATGCAGAGCCAGCACCTCTTGTGGACACCCCAAAGCCTGAGACAAAGGAAGGGGGGTCTTCCGTGTTGACCAAATGGTCTCTCCATTTAGACGGACACAACAGATCACGGCCTTGTGACCGCTGTTCTCTTTCTGCTCTAAGACCACTGGCCAACGAAAGGCCCCACAGCGGCCACTGTGATGTTCCAACTGCATTCCAGATTGTCCCAGTGGGATGGTGCCCACAGAGCCATGTGTGAGTCAGCCTGATGGCAACGTGAGAGAAGCGGGGGCTGGGCCCAGATGAGGCTCAGCCTCACATGGAGAAGCCCCCACGAGAACACGGCAATGGTACCCGTGCAACCTCGCAGGTCTCAGACACAAAGATAGGATCGGAGGAAATGCCCTTATAGGGTTTTCTCTTCTCTCTTTTCCTTTTCAGATTTCAAAATGGTGATGAGTCTGTCCAAAGGATGCTGGTCTGAGGAGACCCTCAGAACACTTCGGTCACCAGCTAACATCCATGCCAATTCTCCTCTTTTTGCTGAGGAAGACCGGCCCTGGGCTAACATCCGTGCCCATCTTCCTCTACTTTATATGGGACGCTGCCACAGCATGGCTTGATAAGCGGTGCGGCAGTGCGTGCCCGGGATCTGAACCCAGGCTGCCAGCAGTGGAGCGGGCGCACTTAACCACCACGCCACAGGTCGGCCCCCCGGCCACCAGCTCTGACTCGAGGGTGACTCACTGGATCTAGGCCTGTCCTCTCCGTATAGGCATTTCCCCTATGGACACACAATGCTCAAGGCACTTGTAACAAGGTGAACAGTGGTCCCCAAAACTGACGTCCACATCCTGACCCCTGGACCCTGCGACTGGGACCTTATTTGGAAATGGGGTCCTTGCAGATGTCATTAAGGTCAGGACCTCAAGATGCGGTCATCCTGGATTTAGGGTGGGCCCTGAATCCAAGGACAAGCATCTTTGTAAGAGACAGGAGAGGAGAAGACACAAGAAGAGGAGCCATGTGAAGAGGGCGGCAGGGACTGCAGTGATGTGGCCACAGGCTGCGGAACGGTGGGGTCCGCAGTGGCAGAGGCTAGGAGGGCTGCACCCTGAGATCCCTCGCAGGTCCCAGCTGGCGGAAGCAAGGGTCTTGTGGGAATCTCACAGGACCTCCATTTCTGTCGCCACCATCCAGCCAAATGCCACGTGGAGCACACCTGTGGTCACACAGAGGTGGGCGCACCGGCCCATCACCAGGGCTCCATGCAGCGCCTCCAGAAGAGGGTGTTGGGGGAGGGCTCAAGGAAGTGGAGTGCGCTCTGGACTGGGCACACACTGCAGGCGGGGGCGTCTCTGTGTGCTAACACCCTCACCTGGGAGGGGCGAGGAGCCGAGTGGGCGAACACTGCACTCACGCCAGCCAGAGACACGCAGGGAGGGTTGGCCGTGTTTCCCTCCCCAAAGCCCCAGTGCGTGGTCGTATATTCTAGTTGGAAGTCCTTCCAGTTCTTCTAGGTGAGCCCCTGCAGCACAGCAACTGACATACGGGTGGTGTGGTTCTGCACCCGGGAACCGAAGCTGGGCCACCGAAGTGGGGGGAGAGCCAAACTTTAACCACCAGGCCATCAGGGCTGGCTTGAGGTTTGGCCGTTTTTGTGGCTTGAACAAAGCCCTGTTTTTGTCTGTGGTCACACAGACGGAGGGTTGTTTTCGTCTCACTCCATCCTGGCCAGACTGGATGCTGATGTCCCGTGGGGTGATGTTCCACAGGAGGACGCACGGCTCAGCTGTGGACACCAGGCCAACTCCCAGCCGACCACAGTCAGGGCCTGCTTTGTTCTTTCTCGCTTTACACTCACCACCCAGCCTTTGCACATGCTGTTCCCTCTACCAGAACGCCCATCTCTCCCTTTCTTCACCCACCTCTTCTTAAGTGCCACCTCCCCCGAGAAGGCCTCTCTGATCAGGCCGGCTTCCATAACCCACTCCCAATCGAGGCATATCTTCTGGCCACAGTTAAGATCATAATTTTTCGTGGGACTTCCTGACTTTGAGGCCGGGAGACCAGGGACCGAGTCTGTCTCATTTGCCGCTGTGTTCCCAGCACAGGCGTGCAGTGGGTCCCTCATACCTACTTGAGAGTGTGGGCATCTAAGGGCTGTAGAACATCGGGAAGACAGAAGCCAAGAGTCCTCAGGACAGGGAGCCGGGCTGCGGTGGGGGTGCCTGGGACGCGGCAGAAGTCAGCCTGCAGACCTGGCTTGTTCCGGAACGATTCACTTGACCTGCACCCTCAGTTACGTCAATACGAGGCAGAGGCTCCCTCCCCCAGGAAGGTGTGACAAGCCCGGCTCTCTTTTTCATTGTCTTTGTTTACACCTGGCTCCTGACCACTGGAAGGTCAACTAGGTGTTGCCTTTGGCATCTCCTCGCCCCTGCAACCGGATACTCAACAACAATAAATGTTTATGTGATCCCCTTCTTCCTGGTGACAAACACCTTTCCAGGGCTCGGGCTCCATCCTCCAGGCCTCACAGCCACGGCAGAGACAGAAAACAGGCCAATAAACAGACGATGTCAGTGGATGGAAATTAAACAGAGGGCGGGCTGGAGCACCAAGCACCCGCGGAGGCCGGAGGTCTTTCTCAGGAAGGGCCATTGGGGCCACGGCCTAAAGGAGGTGAAGAGCTGACCAAGGGAACAGCTGCGGGCAGAGGGAACAGCACGGGCAGAGGGAACAGCACTGGCGACACCCCTGAGGCAGGAGCCTCCCTGGCAATTTGGAGACAGGAGTCGGGCGTGGCTGGGGCTGAGGGAGAATGGGGAAGAGGGGAGGGGAGATGAGGAGGTGGGGGGAGTCTGCAGGGCAATGGGGACCCACACTAGTCCCTAGAGCAAGGCAGGTACACGGTCCGACTGAGGTCCCAGCAGTGTCTCCGAGGTTGCCTTTCAGAGGACAGACTGTGGTCAACTCGTCCTGCCTGAACTGTCCCCAAATCCATACCCTGTTCTCTCCCCACAGCCAGGCCCAGCGTGACCATCCTCCGGCCCCTAGTACTGCCATGTTTTCATATGAGGACACTGAGGCTTAGTAAATGCAGAAAATCTAAAGCGTGGTGCCAGGACAAAGTGGCCCCCCAAACCTAACTGTTGAACAAAATAATAAAGTGCAGAATATTGCGAGCTGTGTGTGTTGAGGGAAGCAATCCAGGAGGAGGGATCGGCGAGGTATTCAAGCCACTCAAGGTTACATTTTAGCCAAATTCAACTCGTGGTCTGCCTGAGCCTGTTTCCCCACGTGGACGGCGCGGAGTGCCTTCCTTTCTCTGCCCCCTTCCCTGTCCCCCCTCTCCCCAGCCTCGCAGGAGGGAGGCACAGAACGTGGACGAGGAGAGCGCCCGCACAGCGCGGAGCGCGGGCTGCGGCGCCCGCTGGCCGACGCCGCCGGAGCACCGGTGAGGCCGAGGCCGCCAGCCTGCCTCCGGGCAGCGGCCGTCTTGGTAAAGGCAAGGCTCTAGATTGTAGTTTCTACCCGCCCCTCCTGGCTCGCCAATATCTGAAACAGGCGCAGCGGAGGAGGCTTTATAAATTTTCCGCTTCCTGAAGAGGAAAAGAAACGGCTCACGACCCTAGCCCGCGTTGCAGGCCAGCGCAGCGTTTCCTTTACCAAGATGGCGCCGGCGCCGGACGTCATCAGCGCGCGCCGCCGGGAGCGCGCCGCGCAAGCTCCGCGGTGACGTCACGGAGGCGCGACCGGGCCGGCGCTGAAGGCAGGAGGTAGGAGCGGCCGCGGCGCGGGCGGAGCCGGGGGGCGGCGGCGCGGCTGGGTGGGCCCGGCGTGGAGGCTCGGGGTCGGACCACCCCCGCAGGAGAGCTGGAGGTGGGGTGCTCGGAGACGGAGGCACTCCCGGCGCCTAGTCTCGCCGGCTCTCTCTGGGGCTGTCCCCATTTACCCGTGCGGGTGACTGAGACCCAGAGGGACAGCGTCATGTTCGAGGTCACCCAGCTCCGGCCCTGCCCCTGAGCAGCGTCCAGGCTTGGGGGTGACAGAGATGGATATGGACGCCCCCCGCCTCTTGTAGTGGGATCAGGGTTGGGGAGATGGACGGCGGGCTGGGGGAGCCCAGAAGGGATAGCGGGAGGGCTTCTTGGTGGAGGCGGCGTTGAACGTCATCTGTTTTTTACTTTCACATCCAGTCAACCACTTGCGTCCCGATTCCCCCTTAAATGTACTCTCTGCCCAGCCAGAGCCACTCCCCGCACCCCTGCCTGAGCTCCCTGCTTCTGTCTCTCACCTCGAGTTCACCTCCTCACCAACCCCAGGGGGCTCTGACCTGCAGATCGCCCCCTGGCTCTAAGCCCTCCGCACCTTCCCATCACCCTGGAATACAAATCCCCTCTTCCCAGCCTGCCTCCCCCACACTCCTGGGGGCTCGGGCCTCCCCACTCCTTTAGGCCTTTTCTTAGATGCCTCCTCCAGGAAACCCTTTGAACCCGCCCCCCCCCCCACAGGCTGGGTCAGAAGTCCCCTCCAGGCTTCCCCAGGGCCCTGCGTGTCCCCATGACATCTCTGATCACGGGTTGTCACTCTCATTGTCTATCTCCCAGCCAGCCTGGGAGTCCCATGCGGGCAGAAGGCCCAGTGGTGCCTCCTTTTCCCCAGAGTCCCACACAGGCTCGGTGCTCGGGGCGTGTGAGTGACTGTGTGTGAGTGTTTGCCACAGGGAAAAGAAAGGCTGTCTGTCTTAGTCAGCTTGGATGGCCATAACAGAATACCGCAGCCTGGGCGGCTTAAACAGCAGAAATGTATTTCTCACAGTTCTGGAGGCAGGAAGTCCAAGATCAAGGCGATAGCCAATATGCTTCCTGGTGTGGGCTCTCCCTGACTTGCAGACAGCACCTGCTCACTGTGTCCTCACGTGGTGGAGAGAGCAAGCTCTGACGTCTCCTGCCCTTCTTCTAGGGGCCCACCCTATGATCCCATTTAACCTTTATCACCTCCTCACTGGCCCTGTCTCCAAATACACTCATATTGAGAGTTAGGGCTTCCACATGGGAATTTTAGAGGGACATAAACATTCAGTCCTGGCCTCAAGAAGGGGTCAGAGAAACCCTATCAGGCTTTGGGGTGGAGTTGGGGGTCATGAACAGTGGGCGTGGGAGAAGGAGTTCTGGGGAGAGCCCCGGTGAGTGGGCCAGGTCACAGGAGGGGACGGGAGGGTGGGTCAGGCAGAGGCACAGCAAGAGCGAAGGCCCTGGGGTGGGAGAGGGAGGTTGGTGGGAAGAACGGTGAGAAGCTGAGTTTGGACAGTGTGTGAGGTAAACACTGAGGGAACCCTGGAAATAAACACTGTTCATTCATTTGCTCAAAACATTGATTGAACCCCTACTGTGCAGGGCACTGGGGCACAGTGGTGGCCAAGACAGTCCTGGCCCTGCTCTCACGGAGCTCCCAGCCTGGTGGGGAAGATGGACATTTGGTGAATCATCATATAAATGAACATAAGATCGCAACTCAGGCGAGTGCCTCAGAGAGAAGTTTGTGGTCAGAGTCAGGGGGTGTCTCAGGGAAGCCTTCCTGGAGGCGGCAACACCTGAGCTGAACCCTGAAGTTTAAATAGGAGTTAACTGGGTAAAAAGAGGAGTGAAGAGCAGTCAGGTGGAGGGCACAGCAAGTGCAAAGGCCCTGGGGTGGGAACCTGCTTGTTATGTTTGAAAAATGGCAAGGAGGCTAGTGTGGCTGCTGCTGAGTGAGTGTGGGGGACAGGGGAGAGGAGGGTGGGGAGTTTCCTCATCTGTAACTTGGACAGTGACCCCCACTTCTTGGCACTCCCCTGGAGAATCCAGGAGGGGTTTTCCTTGGGGTACGTTGTAGACGCTCAGTAGTGAATGCTTGATTTGGGGGCCATGGAGCAGCTGGGAGGAGCGTGGGATCAGGCTGGCAGACCCGACCCCACAACAGCCCCAGCATCCATGACTGAAATCAGCCCTGCATCCCAGATGAGGACACAGGCTTGAGGGGAGCACTTCAGCTACAACTGCAGAGCCAGGACTCACCCCCGAGGCTCCGCCTGGAAGGGGTGCCCCTCCTTGTGGAGTGCAGGGCCCCGGAGGCCTCAGAGTTCTGATCTGCACTGATGTCACTGAGGGGCCAGCCAGGACCCTGGGGTGGGCAATGGTTAGGAGCACAGAGTCAGGACTGAGGGGCTGGGCCTGTGTGGGAATCCAGGCCCCTCCACTAACCCCCTGTGTGGCCCTGAGCATGTCGCTTACCCGCTCAAAGCCTCAGGCTCCTATCTGTAAACTGGGGCTGAGAGCCCCACCCCTGCCAGGGATGCAGCGGTCAGGATGCCCCTGGCGTGGAGGGCAGTGTGCGTTGGTTATTATCATCGCATGGCTCCATCCCACGCCAGACCTCCTCGGCTCTGCCCAGTGCACCTTCGTAATTCCCAGTGTCTGGCTCCCACCCTCAGCCCACGTGACAGCCAGAGGCGGCTTTGGAGCAGCCTAAATCAGAGTGTGGTTGTGCCCTGCTCGAAGCTGCCTAACAGCTCCCTGGTGCCCACGGAATAAAACCCTTGCTCTTCCTCATCCTGTAAGACCATGCCCTGTCAGCCCCGTGCCCTCCCACCCTCTTCCCCCTCCATCTCCTCCTCACTTACCCACTCCAGCCTCAGTGGCCTCCATACTTCCTATAGCGCATGGCCTCCTGCCTGCCCCGGGGCCTTTGCACCTCCTGTGCCCTCTGCCCAGAAATCTCACCTGTGCGTCCTCACAGGGCTGCCAGGACCCATCCTTCAGGTCTCAGCTCAGCTGCCGCCTCCCTGGGTGTGAGTCGTCACCAGCACACTCTGGGTAAAGCTCTTGGCCCAGTGCATGCAGCTGCTGCACCCGGGAGACGGTGTGAGACTTTCCAGGGGCTCCACAATGCGAGCCCCTGCCCCACGAGTCACACAGCTAAGAGGCTGGAGTGGGAGGTTGCCTGGTGGACCTGAGTCAGGATGGCCCCCACACTCTCTCCCCTTCATTCTTGGATGCTCGCTTGGTTTCTCTAAGGTTCAGCAAGGGGGCTGAGTTGGAGATGTTCCGGGTGGGAGAGAACGGCCCAAGACTGAGGGACACCAGCCCGTTTCCCAGGTGAGGACAACTGAGGCTCGGAGAGCTGAAGGCCCGTGCCCTGGAGCGCACGGCGCGTGCGTCCTCAGTCAGCATTCTGAAGGGTGCTCTCAATTTCTCCGCCGCACAGCCTTCCCTTCCGCTCCGGAAAGGCAGGCTTTCCAAGTGAGACTCCAGGCTCAGCCCCTGCCTCCCGGCCGGGTCCCTTGGCTTCTGCACCTCAGAACGGGAATAAGGACCGTCCGCCTGCTTAAGAATTGGGGGGCATTCGATTGAGTTGGCCCATAGAAAGCATTTAGTGGAGGGCCTGGCGTGGGGAGGGGGCACCTGCCGTCTGTGTGTGTCGTCATTGCCCCCGGCACCCAGCATGGGCCTTGCACAGGCCACCTGCCTGCGGGACAGCAGCATCGCGAATCGCGATTGTTAGAGCATCTCCCCGCCACGCCGCCCTGGGCCGGGTCACTGGGAGCGGTTCACGGCAGCTGTTTACCCAGGAGGAGGGGACTTGGCCTCAGGGCTGGCAGACCTGGGACTAAGGTCTCATGGGTGGCAGAGTGGGAGGGGCCCCACCCAGACTGGCCCGCAGGGGTCCACAGCAGCGTGACTCGTAGGAGCCGAAAAGCGGAGACCACCCGGGTGTCCATCAGTGGACAGATGGATGAACACAATGTGGTCCCTCCACACAGTGGAATAGTGCTCAGGCACAGAGAGGACTGAAGCCCCGACACACGCTACAACATGAACGAACCTTGAAAACCTCACGCTGAGTGAGAGAAGCCAGACACAAAAGGCCACACAGTGTGTGATTCCATGTCTATGAAACGTCCAGAACAGGCAAATCCACAGAGACAGAAAGCGGATTAGTGTTGCCAGGGGCTGGGGGAGGGGATGGGGAGTGACTGCTCATGGGGATGGGGTTTCCCTGTGGGGTGATGGGAATGTTCTGGAACTAGACAGAGGTGATGGTTGCACAACATTGTGAATGTGCTAAATGCCACTGAATTGTGCACTTTAAAATGGTTCGTTTTGTGTTATGTGAATTTTGCCTCAATAAATGTGTGTGTGTGTGTGTGTGAGGAAGATCAGCCCTGAGCCAACAGCCATTGCCAATCCTCCTTTTTGCTGAGGAAGGTTGGCCCTGGGCTAACATCTGTGCCCGCTCTTCCTCTACTTTATATGTAGGGACACCTGCCACAGCATGGCTTGATAAGCGGTGCCTGGGTCCATGCCCGGGATCTGAACCCGTGAATCCTGGGCCGCTGAAGCAGAGCACGCAAACTTAACCACTAAGCCAGTGGGCCGGCCTCTCAATAAATTTTTTTAAAAAGAGAGAACACCAAGTCCGAAGCCCTCATTTTACAGACACGGCCATTGAGGCGTCAAGGGGGTCTTGGCTGTGCAGGTGTGAGTCTGGGGGTGCTGATGGTGGATGCCCCCGCTCACTGGTCCCCGCCCTCCTCCTGCAGCCTGCTGAGGGATGCCCAAGAAGTTCCAGGGCGAGAACACCAAGTCGGCAGCGGCCCGGGCACGGAGGGCTGAGGCCAAGGCGGCAGCTGATGCCAGGAAGCAGAAGGAGCTGGAGGATGCCTACTGGAAGGACGAGGACAAACACGTCATGAGGAAGGAGCAACGCAAGGTGGGTGAGCCCTGGGCTCCCATGCCTGTGGGCGAGGCAGGCAGTCAACATGGAAACAGGGTGGAAGGGGGCCGGGGGATCCTAAGGCTTTGGCCGGAAGGGCCTCAGACATGGAGCAAGGGCAGGGAGGGGGGGCAGAAGCAGAGGCAATGGCTCGTGCAAAGGCCCTGGGGTAGCCAGGACTTGGCATGTTTAGGGGATAGTGAGGCAGCCACCGCCCTCCATGGGCTTGTTTCTCTCCTTTGTGTAATACCAGGGTTGGGCGAGACTGGCAGTTCTCACCCTGGAGTCACTCTGCACCCAGGGGACACTTGGCAAAGTCTGGAGACAGTTTGGTTGTCACAACCGGCAGGTGGAGGGTGCTACTGGCATCTGGTGAGTGGAGGCCAGGGGTGCTGCTCAACTCCCTAGAGTGTGCAGGATGGCCCCCAGCACAGACTTGAGTGGGCCCCAGACGGCAGCAGTGCCGAGGTTGGGAGATGCTGATTCGAGCTTCTAACCTGGGGCTTCCAGGCGCTTCCAGAAGTGGGCAAGGATGGCTGGCTGTCCCCTGATGGGCCCCAGTGCCAGGCACACAGTGGGGGCATAATTGGTGTCTGGGGAGTAGTTCAGGGCTGATGCTGAACAGCTGGGCCCAGTAGGTGACACCAGAGACTCGTCTTAGCCCACCCTCCTGGTTCCCTGGGTGGGTCACACACCGCTGCCCGGAGCCCAGGGGCTGCTCCCTGACCCAGGACATGACAGAAAAAATCGGTTTCTCCATTGGGAAACTGACAAAGGATGCGGAAAATCTTGGTGGCGATGCCCCGTCCCTGCCCGCCCAGTTATGGGGCGCCTGGGCGCGTCTGCGTGCGAGGTTTTCCCACTGTCTTTCTGTGCTGGATCCTGCCTTGTTCTTATTGGACACATCACTGTGCACCCCGCGCCCCCCCCAGTCCATGGGGGTCTTTAAATTGTCTTTATGACGGTCAACATTTTGACAATATGGGAAAGTTGAAAACCCAAAAGGAAAAACAATGTCCACCAAAGATCCATTACCCAGACAGAAAAGCCAGAGAGCTTTTGACAGTCCTAGAGGCAGAAGCCCAGCCCAGGCCTGGGACCCTGGGGTCATCCCCATCCTCCAGGTGAGGAAACCGAGAGAAGGCAGGAAGCCCGGGTCACAGCGCTGGGGGGAGGGCTGCAGCTGGCCGGCACTAGCCCGAGCCCTGGCTCTGCTTCGGGCTTGTTGTGAGCTTTGAGGGCGGCCAGGCCCCAGGCTGGAGCTCAGAGAGCACCTGTGTGCTGCAGTGAGCAGAGGCTGGTGCGCAGCAGGGGCAGCCGGCTCACAGCGCTACCTGGCCTGCCACAGTAGCCCAGAGCCACCATTCACAGACAGGCTAAATGGCCAAAGCAGGTGGAGGGCCAGAGTTGGCCAGCCTCTGCTCTCTAGAACAGTACCGGCCCCTGCGCCCTCCCAGGCAGGCCCTCTTGACTGTTTTGCATGCAGCAGCTGATGGTTCTTCTTCACCGTTAGTGGTTTCCTGGGGTTTGTCTCTCTCTCCTGCTGACAGGCACGCGGGGCCCGCAGTCTACGCCGTACACCTGGTCCCCCTTTCTTTTCTTACACGAGAGCTGCTTTAGAAAGATATTGCTGGGCCGGCCCGGTGGCACAAGTGGTTAAGTGCGTGCGCTCCACTGCAGCGGCCCGGGGTTCGCCGGATCGGATCCCAGGCGTGCACCGACGCATCGCTTGGCAAGCCATGTTGTGGCGGCGACCCAAATAAAGTGGAGGAAGATGGGCACGGATGTTAGCCCAGGGCCAGTCTTCCTCAGCCAAAAAAAGAGGAGGATTGGCAGATGTTAGCACAGGGCTGATCTTCCCCACAAAAAAAAAAAAAAGATATTGCTTCTATTAAAAAAGCAACTCCATGCTTGCTCCAAAACACTAAAAAACAATACACCTCCCCCCTGTAACACCAAAGGCCTTTCTCACCCGATGCCTGAAGCCTGTGCCCTCCATTAAGTGGGGTCCCACAGCCATATTTCCCCCAGCCGACAGGCAGCAGCCACAGGCTGGGCCATAATTCAGCGCCCGGCCCCGAGGTTGGCATTTTGTCTCACTTGTTCCATATTAAGCAGTGCAGCGATGAGCACCTGACTCTCTGGATTCCATCTCCATTTTTTATGAGGCTCATTTTTGATGGCTCCAGAATATTCCACCAAATGGACTCATCCTTCACCCATCACCAGAGGCTGCCAGTCGCTAATTGCCCTTTTTTAAAAACTGCAAGTAACTTTTTATTTATTTTTCCCCCCAAAGCCCCAGTAGATAGTTGTATGTCACAGCTGCACATCCTTCTAGTTGCTGTATGTGGGATGCGGCCTCAGCATGGCCCGAGAAGCGGTGTGTCTGTGCGCGCCCGGGATCCGAACCTGGGCCGCCAGCAGCGGAGCGCGTGCACTTAACCGCTAAGCCACGGGGCCGGCCCCTGCAAGTGACTTTTAAAAAAAATGTTGCTGAATGTCACAGCATAAATGCCTGTGCTCCCTCCTCAGTCCCATGTCCCTAGAGACTCATGGCTGCATGCTGCATGTCCTTCCTGAGTTACTGGAGGCTTCTGGAACTCATTCATTCATTCCACACACTTTCACCAAGCACCTGCTGTGTGCTGAACTGGAAGGCAGCTGTTCACAACCCCAGCCAGGGCCTGCCTCCTGCCTTCGGGACAAACCAGATAATGGGAAGACCAGAAAATGGGGATTTTCAGAACACAAGAAAGAGCTGTGTGGTGGAGAGGGTGGATGGGGAGCCAGGAGCTCAGGATGAGCCAGAGTTAACCAGGGGAGGAGGCCGGCAAGGGCACTCCAGGAGGCAAGAAGAGCTAGTGCAAAGGCCCTGAGGCAGGGCCATGTGGGGGCAGAGTGAGCACGAGGTGTGCTGCACCACGGAGGCTCGGGGAGCCTTGGGAGCATGTTCCCTCTGACCGACGGGGCAACAGGACTGTCCAAGGTACCCGAGTACAGAAGTGGGAGCCTCGCAGCTGTCCTCGCACACCTTTGACCTTTAACCACCCCCCACTTTCTTGCCATGCAGGTGAAGAGGAGGTAAGAGGCCCAGTGGGTGCCCTCAAGCACAACATCCACCTCTCTTCTGGGACACTTAGACCTGCTGTGACAGTGTCACAGCAGGCACAGGGGCCGTCCCCGAGGCCTGGGAGGCAGAGGGCAGAGTTTCGGGCAGTGGGAGGGTAGGCAGGGGTACCTGCGGTGCAGGGCCCGTGGGGGCACTGGGTGGGAGGCGCCAGGACCTTCCAAGCCCACAGCCGAACCGCCATAAGGGAACCAGCACCTCGCTCTGCCCCCCGGAGTGGTGGAGGAGCAGTGGCCAAGGACAAGTCCTGCAGGCGAGATGTCTCCTTGTCCCACTGGCATCAGGGCCTCCCTGGGGAGCCAGGGTGGGGTCAGGCCCAGCCCCTGTGACACATGGCTGGGGACTCCAACCGTGCCTCCCCCAAAGTCTCCTGGCGATCAGGGCAAAACCCCTGCCCCAGCTGTTCCAGAGCCTCCTGTGGCCCCTGTGGCCTTTGGAATCCAACACAGACCCTCCCCGGGGCCTTGAGGCCCCTGTGGCCTGGGCTTCGCCCACACCGCCTCTTCTCCCTCCCTGCTCCCTCTCCCCACTCCAGCCACACCAGCCTCTGTGCTGCTTCTCTGTCGTGCCTTTGCAGTCACCACTGCCACCACTAAGGGCTCTCCCGTGCCCAGCTCTCCCGCTGGCTGGCTCCTCCTGCAGCCCAGGAGGCACTTTTCCGCCCACCTGCCCTGGCCCAGGTTCCCTGTTGTTCCCACAGTCATGTGGGATGGGAGGCCCGTGGTGCACCCAGCACGGGGTCCAGCACACAGCAGGGCTTCAGTCTGCGTTGGCTGAGGTGAAACCTGGATGCCGAGGCGGCAGGGAGGGGTCCGAACCTGACCACCCCGTCCCCCAGGAGGAGAAGGAAAAGCGGCGCCTGGAGCAGCTGGAGCGCAAGAAGGAGACGCAGCGCCTGCTGGAGGAGGAGGACTCGAAGCTCAAGGGCGGCAAGGCCCCCCGGGGGGCTGCTCCCAGCAAGGTCACCCGCGCCCAGATTGAGGAGACGCTCCGCCGGGACCACCAGCACAAGGAAGCCCCGGACCCAGGTGGGGCCGCGGCGCACTCTGGAGCTGCCCTTTTACCCGCTAAAGGATAGGCGGTGGGCCCCACCCTCGCCCCCAGAGAAGCTGCCTGGGCTCTGCATGGGGCGGGGTGGGTTGGCGGCGTCCTGGCAAGCCTGGCTCAGAGCACGGGCAACACGGGTGTACACACGCATGTACTCACCTGCTCTGCACCCGACCCCAGCTTGTGCCGCCCGGGGTCGCCAGGTCGTTAATGGGGTGCCCCTAGGCTGAGGAGACAGCAGCCACGTCGGGGGCGCCTCTTGTGTGCTCCGCTGCAGGGAAATTAGGAGGGCAGCACCGGCCACCCAGTAGGGCTGTCGTGGGAGAGCTTCCCAGCTCAAGGGGCGTTTCTCTCCTCCCCGCATCATTCTTTGCCTGCCCGCTTCCTTCCCTTCCTCCCCTCGCTTCTTCCCTCATCGTGTCTCTGTCATCTCCCTGGAACTCTGCATATCTGCGTATCTCTCTCTGTCTCTGTGTATGATTCTGTCACCCGCCCGCCCCCAGCCGAGAAAGCCAAGAGCCACTTGGAGGTGCCGCTGGAGGAGAACGTGAACCGGCGCGTGCTGGAGGAGGGCAGCGTGGAGGCGCGCACCATTGAGGATGCCATCGCCGTGCTCAGGTAATGGGGCGGGGCGGGGCGGGGCTTTGGACCTGGGCGGGGCTAGCCCCCCGGAGGTGGGGCCGGGCCTCCAGGGGGCGGAGCTAGTCCTCTGGGGGCGGGGGCGGAGCCGCCCTCCAGACCCCTGACGCAGGTGTCCTGCCCCAGCGTGGCGGAGGAGGCGGGCGACCGGCACCCCGAGCGGCGCATGCGGGCGGCCTTCACCGCTTTCGAGGAGGCGCAGCTGCCGCGGCTCAAGCAGGAGAACCCCAACATGCGGCTGTCGCAGCTGAAGCAGCTGCTCAAGAAGGAGTGGCTGCGCTCGCCCGACAACCCCATGAACCAGCGGGCCGTGCCCTTCAACGCCCCCAAGTGACCCCGGAACTGAGGGAGCCGCCCCGTGGGCGGTCAGCGTCGTGACCCCACATGCCCTCCCGCTGGGGCATCTCCGAGGGTGACAGAGAGGTTCAGGGCCCCGGTGCGTGTCCTGGCGGCGACGTGGCATCATCGGCCACTCCTGCTCGAGGGTCCCTGCTCCGAGTGACACCTCCCTTCTCACGCGCGCAGAGCCCTGGGCTGAGTGCCCAATAAAGGCTGTCGGTGAGGCAGCGTGTGCGCTTGAAATCCACGTGCGCAGGCGGGGGGGTGGGGAGAGGAGAGCTGGAGTGAGGGAGTGCCCTGGCACAGCCAGAGAAGTCACAGGCCCCCAGCGTCCCTCCTGGCGCAGCAAGCTAGCTGAGAGCCGTGGCTGGCTCCCATGGCGCCCCCTCCTTTGGGGGCGCTGGCCCTTTGCCCAGTGAGGGGCCTGTCCCACTATCCACCGAAGCCTTGCTGGGTTGTTGCAAGTAGGCAACTCAGAGAGGTTGAGGCACTGGCTCCAGCTCACACAGCATTTCAGGGACAGAACTAGAGGAGAGCTGGAGGCGAGTTGTTGGCATCCTGACATTCTGGTTCAGAGTCAGGCAGGGCCAGGTCACATACTGCTTGGGGTCAGGAAATGCTGGCTGCTCTGCTGTTATTCCAACCAGGAGGCATCTGGGGGAGTCCTGGCAGGCTTCCTGGTGGAAGAGTTCTTCAGAGTGGGCCTTTGTGGGCGATGAGTCAGATTCCATCACAGAGGCAGGGCACGGGGCAGGCAAGGGCCTGGGGCTGGAGCAGGCAGGTGGGTCCGGGTAGGAATGAGCGTCCCATCAGAGGCCAAGTGTCTGGGGAGGGTGGGGTGCCATCTGAACTGGGTGCCAGCTTCCTAGAGCTTGGTCAGCCTCACAGAGTGGGCAGAGAGGGCCGCCTCTGGGGGTGGGCCCACATGTGTGGGTGGGGTCCAGGCATTTACCAGGTCACTGCTGTGGCTGCCACTCAAGTGACACCTTCCCTGTGCCCACGAGGTTGTCTCTCCGGCCCCTGGCCCCCATTCTCCCCACTCTCCACTCCCCTCTCAGCTTCTCCAATACAGTAGGCTTGTTCCCCCTTGGGGCCTACACCCTCTTGGTTCCTCCTGCCAAGAACACTGTTCTCCCTGATCTCAGGTCTCGGATGCAGACCTTCTCAGATGGCCTCAGCTGTGTGGGGCCAGGCTCTGCCCCAAGGGAGGAAGGTAGAAGGCATCGTGGAGGGAGGCCTTGAAGGATGCATAGGAATTCTCCCTGCAGACACAAGAGACAGAAGAGACCAAAGGAACCACACGTGCAAAGGCCTGGAGGTCACAACTCTCCTGTTCAAGGAAGGGGTGCCATTAATAATTGCGTACAGCTGAAGTGCAGTATGGAGGGGCCTGAAACGGTGGTAGGTGGCATAAAACTAACCAGCATGTCCTGAGTGCTGGCTTAGTGTGGGGATTACCCCAGGAACCCACCCTGAGACAAGGACCAGAGGCCATGTGAGGCATGCAGGAAGGGCTCCATGGGGGTTAGGGAAGTGAGATGGAGGAAAGGAGCCCCGCAGAGTCCCTGCCAAGGAGTGGGGGATGGGAGCTGTGAGAAGCATCTGCTGGATACTGAGTGCTGGCCTGGCACATGGTACTATCATTTCACTGAGCCCTGAGGCAGCCCTGTGACATACTGCTTCCCTTTACAGATGGGGAAACGGAGCCACCTGCCTGGGGCACACAGCTAGCAAGCGCCCAGAGCTCGGGGGAAGCCAGCAGGGGCAGTGGTAGGGCCCAGAATTGGGGCCGAAGGTGTCAGCCAAATAACAGGAGCAGGAGCCCAGATGGCTCCTCACAAACGGAGGCCTCGGCCTCTTACCTCTGGGGCCTTCGGCCAGGGCTTTAATGGGTCTGAGCCTCAGTTTTGTCTTATATAAAATGGGACCAAAACCAGTATCTAACCCTATGCTATCTCAAGAATCAGCGGAGATGGTGCCTGGGAAGGGCGTATCCTGAAGAAGGGCTTTGTGCCGCCAGCCCGTGGCTTAGCGGATAAGTGTGCGTGCTCAGCTACTGGCGTCCCGGTTCCGGATCCCGGGTGTGCACGGACGCACCGCTTGTCTGGCCATTCTGGCGCAGCGTCCCACATACAGCAACTAGAAGGATGTGCAACTATGACATGCAACTGTCTACTGGGGCTTTGGGGAGAAAAAGGGAAGAAAAAAAAGAGGATTGGCAATAGATGTCAGCTCAGGGCTGGTCTTCCTCAGCAAAAAGAGGATTGGCATGGATGTTAGCTCAGGGCTGATCTTCCTCAAAAAAAAAAAAAAAAGGGCTTGGCAAAGGAGCCTCCTGCAAGGCCACGTTGGGGTCTTTGTGGCCGGGAAAGGAGGGGGATTAGGGAAGGTCGGGGACCAATGGTGATGAACTCGAGGGAAGAAGCCATCTGGGCTGAGGACGCCAGGCCGAGGAATGGGGCTTCATCCCAGGGCAATGGGGAGCCAGGGCTGGTGTGTGAGCGTCGTAGGAAGGGTATCACAGCTGCGCGTGGCAAGCTCTGCCGGGAACCTGTAGAGGGATGGCTGGTGGATTAGAGTGAAGAGGACGGGTTGAGAGCACCGCCTTCAGTCCTGAGACACAAAGACGTTGGTAGTAACTTTTGTTCCCTTCCACAGAAAAGCCCCTTCTCTCTCCGGCCCCGCCCCCGCGGAATCCCGGGCTCGCGCTTGCGCGCAGGCAGCAGGGAATCCCCAGCTCCGAAGCAGCGCGCGGGAGGGGGCGTGAGACGGGAGTTCCTTGCGCTCCTAGTCCTCCACGCGCGCGTTGCCAAGACGACCTCGCGGGACCGCGGGGGACCCCCCGAGCGCGCACTGCGCCTGCGCCTGCGCCGGGGTGCTCTCTTCCCGCGCCAAGGCTGTCCCGTCGCGCGCGAGCCAGGCAGAGAACGCCGCGCTCAGCGCGCGTGCGTCGACTCCCGCCCTGTGGGCCGGGGAATCCTCACCCGCCGCAGGGCGCACTGGGGGCGGAGCGGGGAAACCGGCTCAAACCCGGGTGGGGTTCGCTGAGGAGGTGGCGGGGGTGGGAGCGAGAGCCGGGTCTTTTCGAGCTTCCCGCTCCGGCCCTCGCCGTCGCCTTGGCAACCCAGCGCGCGGGCCGCAGTGCGGGAGTGGCGCGGGCCTCGGGGAAGCCGGGCCGCTCTGCACCTTGCGTGGGGCTCCGCGCCTGCGGCCGGGGTTCCCCCTCGAGGGCCCCGGGGATCGGCTGGGGAGGGTGTGGAGAGGCGAGGAGACGGTCGGCGCCGAGGGAGCCTCCAAGCACGGGGAGAGGGCTGTGGGGGAGGGGAGAATGGGGAGAGAAGAGGAGGAGGGGTGGGTGCCGGAGAAGGTGGGGGAAACGCGAAGGGTCGGGATGATAGGGAGAGGGGGACAACAAAGGAAGAGAGGGGAAACTTGGGGAGCAGCCAAGGGACACGGACAATGTGACGGAGACAAAGAAGCCCATGAAGGGGACACTGCGGGTGTGGGGGTGACGGGAGGGGAGGCTGGGGAGAGGGCAGGCACCTTCAGGACCCCTCCTTCCGCAGTTTGGGCTGGAGAGGGAGGGAGTTTGCTGCCCCAGAAGATCGCGGGCTAGAGTTTCCGGATTTAGAAAAGAAAAAAGACACCGAGTTGAAGTGGACTTTCAGATAAACAAGGAGTAATTTTTAGAAGTATGTCCCATTCCGTGCCCTGCCTTTTGTCTGGCAGTCCTCATCTTGGTTGCCTACCCCCACACCGCCTGTTCCTTGAGCCTTTCTGAAAGCCGTGGGGACCTCGCCGGATGATGCCTTTGTCTCCCACCTCCCTGGTGCCCACAGCCTTGCGCGCCGCGTGCCTCCTATGCTATCTCCCCTCCCCCTGGCCTTGAACACCAGCCTGAGGGCGAGTCCTGGCCAGGCAGTGAAGTGCGCAAAAGCGCGGCACCCGCTTACGCCTCCAGGGCCCTTCTCTCTCCCATAACCCTCCCACCCCACCCAAACTCTCCACCATGGGCATGGCCCTGCTGAGGTGACATGTCCCTGCCTGTCCCAGCCGCCATCGCCTCCTTCAGGGCTCTCTCTAAGCCTGCTACCCGGGGAACCCCCACCCGCCGGGCTCCCCCTCAATCTCTGGGCACGTGAGCATATAGTAGGTGCTCGACGAAACCTCGGAGGGGGATTTTGTGGACGCAAGCATTGGGGAGGGTTTGATTTCTCAGCATGAGAGCTGCGTTTTCCCTCCCATGGGGGCACATACCCTCTCTAGGCCTTCGTACCCTCCAACAGAGCGATTTTCCTTTTATCTTCTCCTTTGGTTTCAAAACGTGTAAGATAATAAAATATTATGGAAAAGCTAATAACAGAGGAAGGTCAGCCTCCAGGGCCTTTCTCTCTCTTCACTTCTCGTCTTTGCATTTCATACTTTTTTGCCATCTGAACACTCCAACAGTCACGCCTTGGGCCTGGCGTCTGCTTAAGAGGCCAGGAACTCGGGCCCAGCGATCATTTTCCCCAGCGGCATGTTATTCTGGAAATGGCTATGCGGTCCCCCGGGGCGGGGGCGGGGGGGGCATGTGGGTGCACCTTGTGTTTAGTTCTGATGTCCTTGGTAATGCCCCTGCAGAAGCAGGTCCTGGATCTTTTGTGCCATGTCCTAGGGGTGCTTTCCAGGGCGCTAGCTGGGCAGAGGGTGGTGCTGTCCCGTTATTTGGAGCTGGCTAACTCCTGGGGTGGTGCTGGGTCAGAGCTGGCCTCTCCTCTCATCAGCCAGGCCGGGGTTGCACGGGCCCCACATTCCCCTGCGGGAGGCAGAAGGTGAACAAGTGAACAGACCACACCAGGGACTGAGGGCAGCAAGGATAGTAAACTAGAGTGACATGCCCAGAGAAGAGTGAAGTGCCCAGAGAAGGGATGACTCTAGGCAAGAGGTGACATTGGACCAAGCTCTGAAAGACAGTAGGGGGTGAGGAGACCCAGGGAAGGGCGATCCTGGCAGAAGGAACAGCAGATGCAAAGGCTATGAGGCTGGACCGCTTAGGGCAGACGCTGGGGGTGGCCAGAGTGTGGTGCGCAGTCTAGGGAGACAGTGGAAGGGCTGGGACAACGCTGGAGTGGAAGTCAGATGGCGCGGGACTTTGGGGGGTCGGGGGGAGGGAGTCAGGGTCCTCCTGTTGGTGCAAGGAGGAGGGTGCTGGTTATGCGGGGCAGGGATGTGACGAGTCATATGAGTGAG